GACCTTATGCAGTTGCGAGCGCCGTAAAACCCTCCACTATAATAATAATAATAATAATAACACCTCTAATCTTCGGCACATATATGACTTAATTGTGTTCCAAGTGACATAAAACGCTTATACGGTGTTGTCATAAAGTGTACAATGTCTTATTGTGTTTTTTATCTCTCTTCAGACATGCAAGGCGGTCGTATCGGGGACATGGTCAAGCTGGGCATCACAGAGTCGTACCAGGTGAAGAGACAAGTGCTCATCTCCGGAGCTGAGGCGGCTGAGATGATCATGCGAGTGGACAACATCATCCGCTCAGCGCCGCGGCAACGCATGCCCGACCACAGGCACCATTGATGACTCACAGCTCCGCTTAGTTGCGATCATTTCCTCTTTTGTCCCCTTGGCTTTGTGGCTTCACTTTTTACCTCTCATTGCTACATCATGTCTAGGTTTTTGTTTTTTTCTACATTGTGTAATTAGTTGCTTCTGAAGGCTTTGTGGCAAAACAATTTATATCCAAGAGGTGAAAAGTGTCAAAGGGCTTATTGATTTTTTTACAGCCAGTTGGCTGTTGAAGAAAAATGTTGAATCAGAAGAGTACAAAACCAATGGTCACAGCTAGCTTTGTGTGACAAAAATGTTATGAAGTTAAAGATCGAGCTTGCTGTCTAAAGGGAAAAGTTTGGAATTTGAAATTTCAAATGTTGGTAATAAACCATTTTATCACAAAGCCTTTTATCTGTCCATGAACAAAAAATTAAATAATGTGTGACTTTTCATTTTCTGAACTTGTGTGTATGTTGTTAGAGACAAATACCATAAGTGGTAAGTGTGATATTCAGAAGGGAAAAAAGGGTGCCAATCTTGTCTCATTAGCAGCTTTGCATTATTTCACAGGTTTATTTGTCTTGACTCGGAGGAGAACAGAAAAGTCAATACCATTTAGAATGTAGTACAAAATGTACAATTTTTAATGATTAAGTACATGTACGTACCGGTATACTGTGAATCACAGTGGTTTCTGCTAGGTCCAGTTAGTTATGTGTGGAGTTTATTGGTAAGAGATTGGATCCACAATTGAGAACACGGGAATAAGTTGTAGGGTCTAATAGCACAGACAGTGGTGTGAAACGCTTGAGTGACTGACATGAACGTGTGTTTTTTTACCTGTATTATATTTATTTCATCGGTCAGTTCATGCAAATCTTACGAAATAAACGAAGTGTTCTTAAGTTTGCGTGTTTTTCTGGGGGTTTTTTATCTTAAATTTTGTTATGTTTTTCTCCAGCAGAGTTAACCAGCATCTGTGGTGTAATGGTTTGGTTCTTGGCTGTTGCAAGCTAGGGATGCAAGTTTGATCTCCTTATGGAAAAATTGTTTAATCGATCAATCTGTCTGCTGAGATGCTCTTTACAACTCAGTCTTATGTTGACCCCTGACAGGTTGAATAAATTTAGCATGCCTCGTAAATGATGTAAAATTATGTGGACTAGGGATAACAATAACTTTTCAGCTGCTGGTGAGGGAAGGTGTGATCCGTCATAACCTATAAGCCCCGTTCACAACTTAAAGCATACGTGGCACGACACTGTGGAATCGTGTGTTGGTCAGTTTTCTGGCATGTGAACCTATTGGTAGTGCCTTAAAACTTGTTCCTTTTCCTTGCTTTCAATTAAAGAAAAACGCTTGTATTTTTTTAACAAACCGAGATATTTGCAATTGAAGGAGGTGGGGGTTGCCTTGTTTCATAGATAAAATTAGCGAGAAAATGGCTGCCAAAGTTTGGTCATTTACATAGCCTGAGAGTCCATGGAAGCAGACAATTTACATTTTCTGTGCCTTTGATTTAATCAATGTTTTTCAGTAAAATCCATACAGAATCGGTTTTTTTCAATGGACATGAAAGGTGTTGAGCTAAAAAACAAAATTTCGATACGAATTGCCAAACCGGCGAGAAAAATGCCAGTTTCTTCAACTTTCTTATTTTGACAAGCGCCTGATTGCACCACGCTGCATCACATGCAGCTCTTTCAATTAAATCAACAGTGAACATCTGGGACTGGCACTAAAGATTGGTTCAATTTTCTTTATTTGGCGTCTGTGGTCTAGTGGTTAGGCT